CCCTCATCCGTGCAGAATTGGATCGAGGGGCATCCCAAAAATGGATGCCCATCAATCATCATCACCATCATCACCAGAACCATCATCCGCATCATCGTCATCATCATCGTCATCATCATCGTCGTCATCATTATAATACACATCCTCTTCGTCACCATCCGCACCCTCATAAACATCCCCCTTTTCATCCACGTCTTCGTGGTCCACATTAATCGCCTCCTCTGCCTCCTCCTCCTCCTCCTTTTTGTGATCCTCATCCCCTGGTCCTCATCCTCCGGATCGCCATCGTCGCCCTCGGCATCGTCAGCACCGCCATCGTCGCCATATCCCCCCCCCCCGTCCATCTCCCCCCCGCCCCCCCGCTCCTTCCCCCCCCCCCCTTCCCCGTGCCCCCCTCCCTTCCCCCCCAAATCTGCAAAGCTGACCGCGTGCAGCGGCGACGAGGGGCCTCGACTCAGCTTTGTACTACACGGGGAGGGGGAGGGGAGGGGGAGGGCGGAGGATGATGATGACGATGGTGGTGGAGGTGATGACGACAATGTTCCCGACGGCCAGTGTTTCAAGCGTGCTAGGGACAAACATCCGTGGATGCACGTAATTACAAGATGGTCGTTATGTTCCACAACACCAGTAGGGATGTGCCATGAGGCGAAAGCATCGGCTAGGCAACGCTGTGGGGGTGCGCCCAGGGGGGGACGCACCGAACTGGTGCAAAGAATTGTGACAAGCAGCAGGCCGCGGGGCGGCGGGCTGGTGGGGGGGTAGTTGGTGAACGCGGGAGCAGAACCCAGCTCCAGCGTGTTCGTGATAGTGGTGGTAGTCGTAGCCGCAACTCTCACTCGTGCCGCTCACCGGCGCGCTTGTCAAAGTGGCGTTGCTTGACGTGGTTCTACCGGTAGCGGTCGTGGTCGTAGCTCTCGTGGTGCTGTTTTCACTCGTACCGCTTACCGACGCGCCTGTCAGAGTAACGCTGCATGTCGCCCTGCTGCCGGCAGCGGTCGTGGTCGCAAGTCTCGTGGTGCTGCTCTCACTCGTACTGCTAATTGACGTGTCTGACAGAGAGGCGCTGCTTGGCGTGGTGCTGCTGGTAGCAGTAGGTCGTTGCTCTCGTAGTGCTGCTCTCACCCGTACGGCTCCCCGACGTGCCTGACAGAGTGGTGTTGCTTGACGTGGTGATGATGGTGGCAGTCGTGGTCGTAACTCTCATGGCCCGTAGTAGCGGTCGTGGTCGTGTCTCTCGTGTTGCAGCTCACGCTCGGGTTGCTCATCGTCGTGCTTGGCCGTGTGGTGCTGATTGGCGTGGTGCTGCTGGTAGCAGTAGGTCGTTGCTCTCGTTGTGCTGCTCTCACCCGTACGGCTCCCCGACGTGCCTGTCAGAGTGGTGCTGCTTGGCGTGGTGTTGCTGGTAGCGAGTGTGGTCGTAACTCTCGCGGTGCTGCTCTCACTCGTGCTGCTCGCCGTCGTGTTTGTCAGAGTGGCATTGCTTGACGTAGTGCTGCTGGTAGCGGTCGTCGTCATCCCTTTCGTGGTGTTGCTCCCACTCGAGCTGCTCATCGTCGTGCTTGTCAGGGTGGTGGCGCTTGGCGTGGTGCTGCTGGTAGCGGTCGTGGTCGTAACTCTCGTGGTGCTGCTCTCTTTCGTCCGGTTCCCCGGCGTGCCTGTCGGGTGGCGTTGCTTGGCGCGGTAGTGGTCGTGGTCGTGTCCCTCGTGTTGCAGCTCACGCTCATGCTACTCATCGACGCCCTTGTCAGGCTGGTGCTGATTATCGTGGTGCTGCTGGTAGCGGTTGTGGTCGTAACTCTCGTGGTGCTGCTCACACTCGTACTGCTCATCGACGTGCTTGTCAGGGTGGCCCTGCTTGGTGCCGTGCTTTTGGTAGCGGTCATGGCCGTACTTCTCGTGGTGTTGCTCTCCCTCGTACTGCTCGCCGACATGCTTGTCGGAGTGGTGCTGCTTGGCATGTTTTATGATGGTAGCGGTCGTGGTCGTGACTCTCGGGGATTGCTCTCACTCGTACTGCTCACCGACGTGCTTGTCAGAGTGGTGATGCTTGGCGCGACGCTGCTAGTAGCGGTCATTGTTGTACCTCTCGTGGTGCTGCTCTCACTCGCACTGCTCGTCGACGTGCTTGTCAGAGTGGTGATGCTTGGCGCGGCGCTGCTAGTAGCGGTCATTGTCGTACCTCTCGTGGTGCTGCTCTCACTCGCACTGCTCGTCGACGTGCTTGTCAGAGTGGTGATGCTTGGCGCGGCGCTGCTAGTAGGGGTCACTGTCGTACCTCTCGTGGTGCTGCTCTCTCTCGCACTGCTCGTCGACGCGCTTGTCAGAGTGGTGCTGCTTGGCATGATGTTGCTGGTAGCGGTCGTGGTCGTAATGCTCGTGGTGCTGCTCCCACTCGCACTGCTCACCGACGCGCCTGTCAGAGTGGTTTTGCTTGGCGCGGTGCTGCTGGTTGCGGCCGCGGTCGTAACACTTGTCCTGCTCATCGACGTGCTTGCCAGAGTGGTGCTCATTGACGTATTGTTGCTGGTAGCGGTCGTGGTCGTGACTCCCGCGGTGTTGCTCTCACTCGTACTGCTCATCGATCCGCTTGTCAGACTGGCACTGCGTGGCGTGGTGTTGCTGGTAGCGGTCGTGGTCGTAACTCGTGGTGTTGTTCTCACTCGTATTGCCCGTCGAGGGCTTGCCAGAGTGGCAATACTTGGGGTGGTGTTGCTGGTGGCGGTCGTAGTCGCACCTCTCGTGGTGCTGCCCTCACTTGTACAGCTCTCCAACGTGCCTGTCAGAGTGGTGCTGCATGGTGTGGTGCTTCTAGTAGCGGTCCTTGTCACAACTCTCGTGACACTGCTCTCACCCGCACTGCTCACCGACGTGCTCGTCCGAGTGGTGCTCACACTCGTGCAGCTCCCATTCGTGCTGCTCACCGACGTGCTTGTCAGAGTGGTCCTGTTTAACGCGTTGCTGCTGGTAGCGGCCGTGGTGGTACGCCCCGTGGTGCTGCTCTCATTTGCATTGCTCATCGCGGTGCTTGTCAGAGTGGTGCTGCTTGACGTAGTGTTGTTGGTAGCGGTCGTGGTCGTAACTACGCGGTCTTGCTCTCGCTCGTGCTGCTCACCAGCGATCTTGTCAGAGTGGCGATGATTGGCGTGGTGTTGCTGGTAAGGTCGTGGTCGTAGCTCGCGTGGTGCTGCTCACACTCGTACGCTCACTCACGTGCTCGTCAGAGAGGTGCTGCTGGTAGCTGTCGTGGTCGCAACTCCCGTGGTGCTGCTCTCACTCGTATTGCTCGCCGACGTGCGTGTCGGAGTGGTGCTGCTTGGCGTGGTGTTCCTGGTAGCGGTCATGGTCGCACCTCTCGTGATGCTGCTCCCACTCGTACTGCCCAACGACGTGCTTGTCAAAGTGGTGCTGCTTGGCGCAGTGCTGCTGGTAGCGGTCATGGTCTTAACCCTCGCGGTGCTGCTCTCACTCGTATTGCTCATCGACGTGCTTGCCAGAGTGGTGCACTCAGGCGCTGTGGTGTACAGAGGCAGAAGCATTGAGGCGTTGCGGTGTGCACATGCGAGGTGGTGAACACAAGCTCTGTGGTGCACAGGGTTGCTGTGGTGTACACAGCCCCTGTGGCGTCCACGTATGCTGATGCAGCAGCATCTGTGATGTACATCAGCATGGTGGTGTACACAAGCACTGTGGTGTACACAGTGGTTGTTATTCACACTGGCCCCGTGGTGTGCACAGCAGCTGTGGCGTTCACAGGCGCTGTGGGGCGCACAGATGCTGCTACAGCATTTGTGGTACATACAAGCACTATTGTGTACACATGCGTTGACGTGCAAGTAGGCTGCGTGGTATACACAGGCATTGTGGGCCCCAGCAGAGGGGATCGTACCTTGGCCAGAGTTCCGTATTCACATGTAACTGTTTTGATAGATATGATGCGTGCGAGTTTCCTGCGATGTTTCTGAGGTTGACCCCGTCGGGACTGTGAAGGTGTACACAAGCTTTGTGCTGTACAAAGGCACTATGGTTCACAGGCTGTGTGGTACACACCCACACACACGGCGCTGAAGCAGCACCTGTGGTGCGCACGGGCGATGTGGTGTGCAGAGGCATTGTGTCGCACACAGGCGCTGAGGTGCACACGGCTGCTGTGGTGTACACAGGCGCTGTGGTGTACACGTGTTCTGTGGTGCACACATGTGTTATTGTTGCAGCAGCCATGTACATAGCAATTGCTGTGTACATTGGCGCTGTGGTGTTTACACGACTTGTGGTGTGCACGTGTGCTGTGGTGCAAACGCGCACTAGTGTGAACACACGCACTGCGTTCTGCAAAGGCATTGTTGTTCACACAGGCTCTGTGGTGTACACAGGCTTTGTGTTGTACGCCAGCACTGGGGTGTAAACAGGAATTGTGGTGTACAGAGGCACCGTGGTGTACTTAGGCATTGTTGTTCACACCTGCCCACTAGTGCACGCAAGCACTGTGGTGTTCTCAGGCGCTGTGGTGCACGCAGGCGCCGGGGCGTACGCATGTGTTGTTTGTGGTGTACACTGGAGGTCCCTCCTCGGGCATACAGTGACGCACACATGCGTTGCTTCCAGCGCTCGTGGCTCTCATCAAGCCCCTCCGCTCTGCCCAGCTATCCCTGGCAAATCCCGACCTACATGCTAATCCTAGCTGTCCTTAGCTATTCCCAAGCATTCCCCGACAGCGCTGGAGCGAAACGTGACGTCAACGGGTGGGTGGGTGGGAGGGGAAGCGGGGAAAAAACATGCTCAAAGGAGGGGGGCGAGATGGTTAGCCACAGCTGTCACCTTTCTCAGGGGTTCCGTGGGTTCTGGCAGTGGTCGGGCCTGGCGGAAAACGTGAAGCATGTCGCCTAGAGACGGCAGCGTGATACCATGTGTTAGGGAGCATCGTGATTGGTGGACGACATCTCACGCCGATTTGGGAGAATGGTACCGGAACGTAGAGGCCGCGCGAGTGAGCCGGCCAGGTGGAACCGAGAGGAGGCCGAGGCCGTTCAGATATCGAAGCGTACGCTGCAGAGCCCAGACACCACGGTGCAGCAGAAGCTCAGGGCGGTGGACGAGTTGGAGTACCGGCGTGCTCAGTATGACGGGTAGCAGCATGTGGCAGCACGCAGAGGCACGCAGCAGCACGTGCAGGAGTAGGAGGAGCAGGAGGGTTTTTTTCTCCTCCTTTTCTTTTCCCTCCGTCACTGCCTCCCCTCTCCTTCCTTCCTCCTCCCCCTCCTGCCCTCCTGCCTGCCTGAGCGAGAGCCAATGTTTGAAAAGGAGCCGTTTTCCGTCCTGGTAGGTGTTGCGGGCTCCTGAGACGACTTTGCGTGGCGCTAGTCGAGAGGCCCAGTCTGAAAACCGCCCCATCCATCCTTGTAACGATTGCTAGCTTGTGAGACGAAAATATTCGGTTCTGGTCTTTGAGTGGGAGGTAATCTCAAGCGAGAGCCCCTCTTTGGAAAGGACAGTTCTCCATCCCTGCAGCTGCTACGCATGCTCAGGTTGCTGGCCTCTGACTTGCGGAAGCTTCCAGCGATAACCCCCTTGTGAAAGAGGAGCCGTCCTCCGTCCTCGTAGCTGTTGCAAACGTTCAAGCCGAATGCGCGTGATGCTAAGGCGCGGCCCACAGATCGACAAATCAACGCCCTCCATCGTTGAAGCGTATGCGAACCCTTTCAGACGAAGGTGCGCAGCGCTAAGGCGAGAGCCCCATTCTGAAGACGGCGCGCCGTCCATCCTGGTAGTTGCTGCGAGCTTTTAAATGGAATGTGCTCGGCCGTAAAGCCACCCGCTATTTACTATTTGAAGTTGTTGCAGCCTTAGGCAAAACGCCTTGGCCCGCCCTACAGACACGAACTGTGGTCAGACGGGGAGAAGCGATCTACAACGACAAGGGATGGAGGATGAAGGGAGGGCGAAGGAGGAGTACAAGGAGGAAGCGGAGGATGATATCAGGAAGAGAAAGAGCAGCGAGGAGAAGAGAGGGCGCAAGAAGGCAAGGAGAGTGAGGAGGGGCACGCAGAGAGCAGACGGGAGCCCCGGCGGATTCAGAGGAGGCGGGAGAAGAGGACGAGGAGTGAGAAGAAGAGGGGTAAGGAGGCATGCAAGCAGGAGGAGGAGGAGCAGCTAAAGTAAGCACCATAAGTATCATCAGCAGGAGCAGGAGCAGGAGGTGGAGGGAGAAGAGGGATAGGTGGAGAGGCAGGAGCATGGCGAGGTGGATAAGAAAAAGCAGCAGCACCCAGCAGCGGCGGGATCAGGGAGGAGAGTGAGAAAGGAGCAGGGAGGAGGACAAATGGGGGGAGGCCCAGACTCACACACTTCCTGGATGGCTTCTCCGAGCCGACCTCCAACCGAGCGACGCCGAGAGAGCGAGAACATTCGCGCGCAAGCTGCCGCGTAAGGTGGTGCAGGAGCGCCCTCTTCTCCGCGCGGTGCCGTGCAAGCGGCCCTGCGCGTGCCACTGCGAGAGGTCGCCGTGCCTCCGTGCCCAAAGCCCCATGTACTCCTTCGCTCGAGCCGCGCCCGGCCCCGGCCGTTGTCTGCTCGGGAGCGTCATGGCGGAACCGCCTCCTGCTCTCCAAGCTCCGACATCCGATGGCCCAGCCTGTTCGACTGAGTTGCCTCGATGCGCCCGCTTTGAAACGCAATACGTCCCGTGTTCGAGACGTCCGTGTCAAGACGTTGCGTGCTGGCTCCTTTCATTGGGCCACGTTTGGGCGAATGTGTCGCCTCGGACCTACGCTTTCAGCCTACGTGTTGAGCTCCGTATCGATACGCTACGTGTTGCGTGTGACGTTAGTATCGGGGCAACTTAGCTGTTCGAGTAGCCATCTCCTGGGGCGTTTGCCATCCCCGAGCTCCTCGGTGCCCGAGCGCTCGTCTTCGGTTCTCCTCGCCCGTCGCCTGCGCGCTTCGTCTCCGGACTCTCAAGGGCCGTCGTTGTGCCGACCGCCGTCGCCCCGTCATGCCAGGTCGGCAGGTCCCTGCCGATCGGGGCGACGGTTGTGCGCACCGTCGCCCCGATCGGCAGGGGAAGGAACAGAGCTTCCATCAAGAAGACGTCAAGGTGTCGTCAAGGTTTTTCAACCGCTTTCGACGCCCAAGAGCCCATCCCGGGCCCCGAGGCCGTCAACAAGCGGGTCAGGATGAAACTAGAAGCGCGCCAGTGGACGACCCTGACTACACAAAAGGGGGGGGTGCTCGCACAACCCCCCCCCCTTCCCCCCTTCAAAGGGTGGGTGAGATTTTCGATCCCCCCCCCCCTCCCCCCCTTGGCGCTGGAGGGAGGCGGGGGGGGGGTCGAACTCTCCTCCCCCCCTCCCCCCCTTTGCGCCGAACAGGGGGCCGGGGAGGGGGCCTCTCCCGCAAGGGGGGAGGTCTGGCCTCGGGATAGTGAGTAGTGAGTAGCGAGTAGAGACTGGTGAGTAGTGAGTAGTGGATAGTGATTAGTGAGTAGATAGTAGCGAGTAGTCAGGAGTGAGTAGTGAGAAGTGAGTAGTGAGAATGGAGTAGTGTGCAGTGCGTAGTGAGTAGTGAGTACAAGTGAATAATGGGTAGTGGGGAGTGGGTAGTGAATAGTGAGTAGCGAATAGGGAGTAGCGAGTAGTGAACGAGTAGTGAGTAGTGAGTAGCTAGTAGGGAGTAGCGAGTGGTGAGTAGTGAGTAGTAGTAGTGAGTAGTGAGTAGTGAGGAGTGGGTAGTGGGGAGTGGGTAGTGAGTGGTGAGTTGCGAGTATGGAGTAGCGAGTAGTGATTTGTGACTAGCGAACAGGGCACTGTGAGTAATGAGTAGTGAGGAGGGAGTAGTCGGTAGCGAGTAGTGAGTAGGGAGTAGTGAGTAGCGAGTAGTAAGTAGCGCGTAGTGAGTAGTGAATAGTGAGTAGTGAGCAGTGAGTAGTGAGTAGTGAGTAGCGAGTAGGGAGTAGTGGGTAGTGAGAAGTGAGAAGTGGGTAGTGGGTAGTGGGTAGCCCGTAGTGGGTACTGAGTAGTGAGTAGTTAGTAGTGGCGTGGGACTAGTGACTAGTGAGTAGGAAGTAGGGAGTAGTGAGTATTGAGTAGTGAGTGGTGCGTAGTGGGTGGTGAATATTGCGTACCGGGTAGCGAGTAGCGCGTGGGGAGTAGCGAATAGTGAGTAGTGAATAGTGAACAGTGAGTATTGTGTAAGGAGTAGGGACTTGCGAGTAGCGAGCAGCGGATAGTGAGTAGTGAGCTGTGGGCAGTTAGTAGTCAGTAGTGAATTGTGAGTACTCAGTAGTGAACACTGGATATCGGCTACTGGGTAGTGATAAGTGATTAATGAGTAGTGAGTAGTGGGTATTGAGTAGTGTGTTAGTGTGTAGTGAGTATTGCGTAGTGGATAGTGAGTATTGAGTAGTGACTTGGGAGTAGTGAGTAGCGAGTAGTGAGTAGTGGGTAGTGGGTAGTGAGTAGTTGGTATTTAGTAGTGAGTTGTGAGTAGTGAGCAATGAGTAGTGAGAACTGAGTAGTGAGTAGCGAGTAACGAGTAGAGGGTAGTGAGTAGTGAATACTGAGTACTGAGTACTGTGTGGGGGGCTAGGGTTAGGGTTTGGGGTTAGGGTTACGGGTGGTCGGGGTGGTAGCGTTAGGGGTGGTAGGGGTCGGGTTCCCGAGCCAGGGGGCGCCGTGGCGAAAGGGGAGGAAGGGGGGGGGGGGTCGAATTTGGCGGCCAAAGGGGGGGAGGGGGGGGGTCGGAACCACCCCTCCTTTTGAAACGGGGGGGGGGGGGTCCCCCGACGACGGACAGGGAAAGGGGGGAGGGGGGGGTCTCCCCGACGACGGACCGGGAAAGGGCGGGAAAGGGGAAGGGGGGTTCCCCGACGCCGGATCGGGGAAAGGGGGGGGGTTTCCCCCACCCTTTGGGGTTATCCAGCGGCGCGCCCTCTGAAACTGGTCCCAGTGTCAAGCCCCCAGGGTTCAGCTCAGCACCCGATCCCCTCAGGACCCGTGTGCCCTGGCGAACGGGATGGAACGACGTGTTCGAAAGAGCGCTGGCCGATTCCAAAGTTTAAATTACGTATGATGGGGGGAGCTGGAGGCTACCAGAGGGAGGCCCACCAACCCAGGGCGTGTGTGCGCGTCTGCGTATCTATATCTATATATATATATATATATATATATATATAGACACACGCATGCATGCATATATACATGGATGTATACATGCATACATTCATACCTCAAAACATATACCACACATGCATGCAGGCATGCATGCATGCATACCTACATACCTACGTACATACATACAGTCGTGCATACATACACGCATACATATACACACAACTATACATACATGCATGCATACATACATACATACATACATACATGCATACATACATACATACATGCATGCACACATGCAAACAAGCATACCGGCAAACATGCATACATTGCTTTATGTGTTGTGTTCATGAATGCGTTGGTGCCTCTCCTCTATGCACCTTACTATTGCAAATGTTGCGCACAGCCTGGATTCGACATATGTATACATCTCGCTCTCTCTCTGACTCTCTGTCTCGTTATCTCTCTCTCTCTTTCTCTCTCTCTCTCTCTCTCGCTCTGTCTCTTTCTTTCTCTCTCTCTCTCTCTCTCTCTCTCTCTGTCTTTCATATCTCGATGTTGCACATCCCAAAACAGCCATAGTCCCAGTAGATTGCTCTCCCCGTCCTCGCTCTCGTGAAACCTTCCCTGCTCCTGCTCCTTCCTCCTATTCCTCGCTCCCGCACTTCCTTGCGAACCCTTCCCCATCCTCGTCCTCAGTTGTTGGCGGATGCTCCTTTTGGGGGTGTCTCTAGAGAGCCCCATCGAAGACTTTTGGTGGGCTTCTGCGGGACCTCTAGAGACCTCCTGGGTGCCTCTCGGGAGTCATGTTTTTTGTATGAGGGAGGGGCGGGGGGGGGGGGGCATGTTGCCGCCAACCTCGGCTTGTTTGGGGGCCTTGTTGGGCCATCTTGCGGCCTTCTCAGGCCGTTTCAAAGCCCGTGGGGCCAGCATTGGGGCGATATTGAGGGATTGTTTCGTTGGACTCGGACGCCTTGAAAATCGAAGACACGGATGTCCCCACAGCATGCAAAGAGTTGGTGGACATCCATCTGTTTGACGGTTTGGGGGCCTCTTGTTGGGGATCTCTTTTGGGTCGTCCTTTGGCCACTTAGGGCTCCCGTGAGGCCGTTCGGGCGCCCTTCCGATCGATGCGGGCCTCGTCGAAGCTTGCCAGGGACGTCCAGGAAGCTTTACAACCAGAGGGGATCAGAGGAGACGCTCTGCAGGGGCGTCCAGGAGGCCTGGGAAGGCAGAGATTCGTTTGGGGTCACCTGAGTGCGGCCTCTTGCCCTGGAGAGTATGTACATGTACACACAAACATGTATATATATATATATATATATATATACATATACACACGTGTTTGTATACATATATATGTGTATATATATACACGTGCTTAGAAAGAGAGAGAGAGAGAGAGATAGAGAGAGAGGGAGAGAAACAAAAAGAGAGAGAGATAGAGAGAATTTGCCGTTTTGGGAGGGAGAGGAGGAGGAGGAGGAGGAGCAGGAGGAGCAGGAGGAACAGGAGGAGGAGGTGCAGGAGGAGCAGGAGGAGCAGGAGTAGGAGGAGGAGGATGATCAGGAGGAGGGTCACTACACTAAAAAATAATTCCTCATCGGTACCAGCGCCTGTACCAGTGCATGCACCAGCGCCACCATTGCGAGAGTGATACAGAGAGATCATTTCTTCATCTACTGCGCGCCCGTCCCCTCCTCCTTCTCTTCCGTCCTTTTCTCCTTTCTTCGTTTCCCTCCCATCTCCTTCTCCTCCTCCAAGTCTCTTTCTCTCTCTTTCTCTCTCTCTCTCTCTCTCTCTCTCTCTCTCTCTCTCTCTCTCTCTCTCCTTCAGAATATTCCTACGCGCCGCAGTCGCGGTGGCGGAAAGTGGCATCGAGGCTCCCGTCTACGAGCGGGATTCCCCGTTCGGGGTCGACTTGCATTGCCCTAAAGATTCCCTGGCGACAAAGCTCAGCAGGGCCGCCTGCGACTCGATTGCTGCCTTGGCGCGGAAGGCCGTGGCAAGGAGGAGGAGGAGGAGGAGGAGGTGGAGGAGACGGGACGAGGAGAAGGAGGAGGAAGAGGAGGATAAGGATGCAAAGGCGCGGAGGTGTCTGGACTCAACATCCGCCGCGCAGGTACTGGGCCATCAGGAGGGGCGGCTACGACGCTGAGATCGTGCTGATCGGAACCCTAAAGTCGGCTGACAGGACCCCCCAGCCGCACCTTCTGGGCTCACTTGGCCCACCTCTGGAAGTAAAGAGGATGATAGAAACATGACGTCGGACGTCCGTGGACAGTTTCTCCGCCAGCCCTTGACTCCCTCCTCGCACCCTGGGGAAGCGCCTTCATTGGCGGTGTTCGTGGGAACGGGTCCGGCGGTGCAGCTGGAAGTGTTTTTGTAGATCTTTCGCTATGTGAGTCTCTTGGCTGGCAGCTCGCTTGGGCCATTTTGGGGCCCTTTTGGGGCCAGTTTGGAGGCCGTTGGACTTTTCTTGGGGCTCTATCGGGGCCTTCTTGCGGGCCTCATTGACCTCATGGACAACATTGGAGGTCATCGAACAGAGAAAAGGGTGGTGGGTCTTAATTGCGCACACCCCGTCGGAACTCTCAAATTTGTCTCTTGGGTCCTCTCTCGGGCCGCTCTTTGGGCGCTCTTGGGCGCTCTTGGGGCCGTCTTGGAGCCCTCCTGGGCCACACTCGGGGCCCTCTTGGGCCATTTCGGGGCCATCGTGAGGCTTCAACCGCCAGTCGGAAGCGAAAAGGCGGAAAAAAGCAAGCATCAGTGCTTTTCCCGTGGCCAGTTGGAGCCGTCTCGGTGCGGTTTTGGAGCCCCCTGGACACATGTTGGAGGCTATCTGGAGCTGTTTTGGGCTATTTGGTGTGATCCTGGAGGCCATTTGGGCTAACTCAAGGATGTCTTTAGTTTTGCCCCCCCCCCCTCCCCGTGTTTCTCACGGCGGGGAACAAACTCGCCCATCCTCCTCTTGCTCCTCCTCCTCCTCCTCCTTCCGTAGAATTTTGGCTCAAGCCGCATCGGCTCAGGGTGGTTTGCGCGATCCGTTCAGCCTGGCGTTCCCCCCGACTCGCTCCTCGGGTCAAGTTGCTCCAGCCTCGCTGCGGCCCACCGCGCCCTCGTCTCCCCTTGGCCTCCTCTCCAGCCATGGCGGGAATGGTTCCGTAGCCGACACCACCCGTGTATGTGATCCCCGATGGAGACATCCAAGCTTCTCCGCCCAGCGTCGC